CATCCTACTCATCTCTCATCCTCAAGCGTCCCAAAGGGGACAAGAAGGGGTACCAGACCAGGATGCAGGAAGACAGTGTGAGCACAGGCAATCAGAACCGAGGGGACAGAGATGGTAGCGGTAGAGGCAAACGAAGGTGGGGGGTTGACAAGGAGGTGGTGGTGGTGATGACAGCAGGAAACGCAGTGGTGGCTAGGAAGGCCTCCCGCCCTTTCCATTTGCAGACCCCACCTAGCTGTGGTGGCCCCAGCAGACCCAGAGCTGTCCCCACCCTGCCCTATCCGGCCCCAGCTGTGTCCTTGCCTCCAGCAGCCACACAAATGCCCTCTGTGGCCCTGGGTGTGGAGCTGCATTAAAAACGGCCCAAGGCCCTAGCCAGGAATAGTTAGGGTCAGTTCCCGTTTCTACCTGTGTGAGTATTTATATATCTGTCCACCCACCAGTGTGGTTATGTCTTAAACAGACACACACACACACACACACACACACACACACACACTCGGGTTGGTCCCCTGTCCCACAGGTGCTTGGACCAAGAGTAGGCACACTCCTAAGCGCACACCTTTCTACACAAATCCTCACACTATACAGATGCCTTTGCACCAGTGTTCATGCACATGCACACACAGCCACACACTTTGCATGGGTGTATACACATATTACTGTACCTTTACATACACACAAACCTAACACATCACATAAGCTCACAGGTGAAGAAAGACCTTTGGGTGGGAATTAGGAGAATAGGAAGGAGAACAGAAGCTAAAGGCAAGAGAAACCAGGGAACCACAGCAGCCTGCCTGGCGAGGTCTGGGTGGCTGTGTGAGCACACAAGCACGAGTGAGCGTGAATGCCCAGGGGTTTGGACTTTTCTGCTGCCTCCTCCCCCACCCCATGGAGGGCGAGTCCCACCAGCACCCTGTTTGCAGAGGGGAAATAGAGGCCACAGCAGAGCAGCTGGGCCAGGGGAGGTCGGTGTCCCCATGATTGGGGATTTGGAGCCTTAGCATCTGTGTTGTTTTTGGCACACCCAGGCCAGATAAAGATGGGGTCAGAGCTCGGCTCTCGTGGGAAAGGACTCTCTGGAAGGCTCTCGACCCATTCCTTTCCCAGATCCGGGACCCCAGAGCAGGCAGAGGAAGGGCAAAAGGAAAGAAGGATGTCTGGGGCATAAGCAAGTCCCCATCAAGCTGGCCTGGAGGGCTGGGGGGAGACTATAGTAAACTCACAGGCTTACAGATGCCCAGGAATGTGGAGTGGCCCCTCAAACCAGCCCAGGGACCCCAAAATGCAGTGCCTGGAGCAGACAGAGAGGGGCGACACCAGGCACCCAGCTCTGCAGCTTCTGGACTTGACACCCTCTGCTCCAGGGAGCCTCACCCTTGAGCATGAGGGAAGTTCTTTGTGTCTCAGGAGTCTGCAGCCTGGTTGACAGAGAGGCTATTTAGGGGAGATGTAATGTTAGGGTATACCAAAGCATCATGTCCCACCAGAGCTAACAGGGGACCCAGTTCTGGTCCTGGTCTCATCACTGACTCCTGAAGCCTCTTCCCTTTTGGAGACCTCAGTGTTCACACCTGTAAAATGGGTGAGGTCTTAGGGCCACTCAGAAGACACACAGTCTCCCCAGCCCAGTCAGTTTGGGGCATCCTTGGACCTGAGTCTCCACCTTCCCCTTCTTGCACCAAACTGCTGCCTCCCCAGGTATCAGTGGCTCACAGAAGGCTGGAGCTTAGAGAGCTTAGAGCCAAGTCAACAAGGGAGCAATCGGCTGGAATTCTCCTTGAATATAGGACTCACCCAAGGCTGTAGATAAGTGGGGAGGGACGAGGGGATTCAGGTGCCCCTCCGGGAGCCTTGCCTGACTGCAAACCCCACTGCTTAAAGAGGGCGCTGCCTTTAGGAGCTCTGGTGAGCAGGTAAGGAGGAACTAACTCCTCTGGTGGGTGTAGCAGGCCCTACCCCCACCCAGCAAGCCCAAGCCCCCTGCCTGACCTTCAGTCACTGTAGATGCAGTCTGGTGACAGGAACCAGAAAGAGGGACTACAGACTGTAGCTGCCAAAAGCCCTCACCTCCTCCAGCCCCATCCCCTGACTTCAGGGTCCAGAGAGAGAATATGCCAAGCTGCTCACCCCCATTGTCTGGCTGAGAACGGTGACCACAGAGACAGGTGGTCAGGCCTGTGCTGGAGGACTGCATGAGCCCTCCCTGCAGCCCCAGGCCTCTGCAGGCTTCATTCACCCGCCTGGGAGTTGTGCTCTGGTCCCTCTACCATGACCCCTTGGGCTGCTCCCAGATTTGTTAAGGATTTTCCATCAGATGTGTTCAACCTCATAAGGTACCCTAGAAGAGGGCTTTCTAAGAACCCATGACAGGGACTTCTTCAGAGGCCAGAGGAGGGTCCTTCTGAGAAACTGAGGCTCAGAAGAAGAAGGCCTTCCCCATAACAACAGAAAGATAAGAGGGGGGCGAGAGAAGATGGGGTGTTTGGGTTCCAAAGCTCCAGCTAGTACCTCTCCCCTCCTGCAGAGATGCAGAACAAAATGATGTGTTTTCTACCATGGAGGACTCAGCAGGACCACAGGAATGACCCAGTCCTGCCCTGGGGAACTCACAGTCTCTTAGGATAGAAGCAAGTCTGGGAGTCTACGGTCTCGCTCTCTGGGGATGGCGGGGGAAAGGACAGATTCAAGAAGACCTGGAAAGGAAGGGACATTTGAAGGGCATAGGTGATCTCCCAAGCTGAGAAGGGGAGGGTGGAACAGACAGCAAGAAGCAGGGGCAGAGGCAAGAGCTCACTGAGGGTTCAGGCAGCGGGAACCCCAGAGCTGTGGGGCTGGCAGGGAAGTGGCTCCGGGGAGGGAAGTGGGGCCTCCAGCTCTCCAAGTCCACCCAGCACACAGTAGGTGCTCAAGTGTTTGAGGGATGAGTGACTTGATCCAGGGGCCACAGGAAGGCATTTGAGCAACAGAGTGGCTCCATCACCACCGAGCTTGCAGAACTTCTCCTTCTCTGTCCTCCCTCTCCTCTCTCTGCTAGCTCATCACTTCCTCTCTGCCATTACCTCCAAATAGCCCTCTGTGGTTACGCTAGAATGGGAAAATTGATGTGGAGCCCTGAGTTGGAAGGGTGGGGGTGGCCACCCTTCCATCTGGGACCCAGGAAGCCAGGAATGGCTTCCACAACCAGATGTGGAGCAGGGGGTGTTGCGCGGCCAAGATATGCCGCAAAGCCAGAGGTCAGGTCACTCCTGTTCCAGGTCAGGAAGGTGTGAAAGTAAGGGGATGCAGAGGAGTTGGCCTAAACCACTGGCCTCTCTACAGAGATGACTGAGTCCTCAGTCTTCAGGACTGCTTTCCACCTGGGAAATGGGGCTTCAGCGTTTTACCCACTCTTGAGGAGGCAGAGAGGCTGGGGAGGCGGAGTGGCGGCCCAGGGTGCACAGGAGCTGTGACTTTGGGCAGCACCCTGCCCTCTGTGGGCCCAGCCTGCAGCCCACGCCCCTCCATCCCTGGGGGGGTCTCAGAGCCATGCCTAGCCATCCTCCTGTTGTCCCCTGAGGACCTCCCAAGGTAACAACCCACCTGTCCCTAGTCGAGGCCCTTCAGCCTCTTCCAAACCTAAGGGGAACCTCAGAAGGCCCTGGGTGTTGGGAAAGCCTGGGCACTTGGTCTTGATGAACTGGGTGACCTCTAGAATGGCACTGCCCATCTCTGGACATCACTTTCCCACACACGGTTTTATAAACTTCCTCAAAGTGCTTCCCCTTTCTGACCAGTTTAGCCAATATCCACGGTGCTTCTAGGCCAGGCTCTGTGCCAGGTGCTGGATTGCCGGACAGACACAGTGCTCGTCCCAGCCCCAGATGTTCCCAGTGACCCTGCCATCTCACTGCTTCACCCAGGCAGTGCTCCCCAAGGCATTCCGGATGAGAGGGAACTGAGGCCCAGAGAGATGGCTCAGCCTGACCAAGGACCATCTACATAGAGCCTACTTCTAGGCCAAGCCGGTCCCAGCATCCAAACCTAGGGGTTCCCCACCCAAGATCTCCCCACCACAGTCCCCAGCCAGGACCCAGTGTCTGAGCTAACCCCTCCCACTGCCTCCTCCTTCCTGGCCCCCTCGTCCCCTCAAACCGCAGGGCCCAGCCAGCCTCTGGAACGTGTGCCCAGGACCTCAGTGATATTTTGAGTTTAAGAAAACTTTGCAGTCGGCAGGAGCTCTTAAAGGTTATAAATAGCATCAGCGAGAGCCCATGCTGGGAGAGGCGGAAACACGTGTCACACACGCCAGGGAGGGGGGTTATTCCTAGGCACAGCCCTCCCCCACCAAGTAGGGACCCACCAGGCTTCAGGGCATTTTACAACCACCGGAGAGGGAAGTCACACTCCACCCGGAAAGCATCTGGGAAAGGAGACTCCATTCTCAGCCCCCACCAGGGTCTGGAGCAGTTGGCCAGGTGGCCAGGGCATGTGGGGGCACTGCTGAAAGAGGCCTGAGGTGGCAGGCCTTGATCCTGCCCTATCCCTCCCTGCCATTAGGGTCTCCACTCAGATGCCCAGCATGGGAATCCGGGGCTGAGAAGAGTTTGGGAGCACGTCCACTCTACCTTTAGTCAGTGGCCTGAAGGGAACAAGCCCAGGGTGAAGAAAGGATTATTCCAAGCTCACCCAGGAGCTGGGTAGGGATCAGCCCCTCAATCCATGGTTCTTCCCACCAAATGCTGCTGCAGCTTCCCTTCCGCTTCCAGGGACCACAGGACCATACTTGCCCCACCTAATTAAAGCACAGCTGGAAGACCGCAGACAGCATGAAGAGCCCCCTGGTGTGAGTAATCACAGTCCTCACCTGGGGCTGAGCAGACCCTAGGGCCTCATCCCTCAACCAGCCCCCATATTCCCACTGCCTGTGAAGATCTCCCAATGAACAGATGAGGAAGGGATTGCTGGGGTGGCCAAGAGACTCCCTCCAGCCCAGGTGGATGCCCATGCACGCCCACCTGGACAATGTAGGCTGTGGACAGTCCAAAGCCAGCTGTGGGATCTCCACAAGCAGCTCAGCTCTCGCTTGGACCACTGCAGTCTTGACTTTGTTTGAAGGCCGTGTGATTGGAGGACATGTTTTCAGAACCTCATCTTGGGGTACACAGCTATGGTGGCCTCCTCAATTCCCCCAACTACTTCATAATGTGCATGAACAGGAACCAGCAATCCTGCAAAGATCAGGAAACTGAGATGTGCCTGAGACTCCCACTGCCACCCCCAGCCTGGCCTCACTTCTACCCCACCTGCTGCCCGTGGTCCCCAGCAGATCTGGGGGCAGCAGCCAGGCCTGGCTTCCAGGCGCTCTGAACCTCAGGGAGCCCCAAAGGGTTTATGGGGCTCCCAATGAATGGGCCTGTTGAGTGCAGAGGGGGCCAGGCCCGAGTAAACACCACTGGGTCTGAGCTGCCATTCTCCCCCTGCCTCCTTCCCCAGGACCCAGGACCAAAATACGACTTCCTGTCCCCGGAACTGAGGGCCAGAAGCCCTCCTCAGAGCCCTGAGCTGGGGCTCACTGGAGGAACACAGCCTGCTGCTTGGGCAGCCCCCTAGGCTCGAGGGAAGAGAGGACCTTGGGTTTTCAGGTTCACAGGTCATCACTCAAGACCCAGCGGCTTGGGCACTTTATGAAGCCCCTTCAAGCCTTGAACTGCCCATCTGTTAATGACAGATCGAGAAACTGAGGCCACGAGCAGGAAGGAGACTCACAGGTCAGAACAGCATTGGGCCCCAGCCTCCTCCTTCCCTGGCCAGTGAGGACGGAAGAGTGGGAAGAGGCGGGGTTGGGGTGGGGGCACTCAGAAGAGGGAGAGGCTCCACAGGTGGGGGGGCAGGGCAGAGGGCAGCTTGACAGAAGGCAGGGGAGCTCTCCCTCTTGGATGCCACTGGAAAGCTGAAATCTGGCCTCCTTCTGGTCCTGCTCACAGAAATGGCCCATGTGCCCTGGGATACCCCTTGGAACTGCATGCTTGGGTGGAGCCCAGCAGCAGGCGCAGGAGCTGTGTACGTGCTGTTTGTCATAGTCTCATGATGTGCGCCCAGCCAGCCTAGTCTACTCCCTAGGCCTCATTTTCCCCACCTGGAGGCCAGGTGTTGACAAGCTCTCTGCCTCCCTTTCCAGTTTATGAACTAGAAAGTACTTTGGAAATTATAAAGTGTGGTACCTCCCCAGGAGCCTGGGAGACCTGGGGAGGGGTAGCTCCTGGGGGTGGGAGGCCCAGGAACGTGCCCTAACAGCCTGGGTGGTTGGGGTCAGCCACCTCACGTACTGGGCACTGGGGACTATGGCTGGAATGTGCTGAGTGGTAGCTGCCACGTGAATCATTACACCTAGTCAGGTTGAGCCTGGGACTTCCAGATGCAAACCGGCTCAGACTGGGCTTGGGCAGAAGGGCAGCCTCCAACCAGGGTCTCAGGGCCCTGGGGTGATGTTCCAGGATCTTGCACGATCTCTGCCTCCCCATCTGTCCCCCTCGGCATCCAGGTCCAGTCCTGGTTCTGCTACAGCTCTTTCCACAAAACCACAGAGGGAGGGTATCCTCTCTACAACCCATTTCCTTTGTGACCTCTGCTCCTTTGCCTATAATAAGCCAGCCCTGAGTCTGGGTAGTGCTCTGGGGACAGCCAGAAAGCGTTTCTTGGCTGCTTTCAATGCTGGGAGACTATGTTCCAATGGGCAAGGGGCTGCAGGTCAGTCAGGACCAAGGCTGGATGGAATGAGGGCCCTCACATCTCTCTTGGCTGGGGGACCCTGGGTGCCCACTGCTGGGAGGTCAGGCCTTCTCTAGTCTCAGTTTTCCTGCCTGTTACCAGGGTATGAACAACCTTCAGCCTCCATTTGATTCCTCCAGGTGCCCAAAACATTAATGAAGTCACTCAAAGGAGCTGGTTTATACCTGATGATGGCCTGAAATTTCTGAGATATAGAATAGGCTGGAAGGAGCAGACAGGTAAACAGGAACAGACAGGAGAGTTAGTGGGAAAGAGGCTTGGCAGGGCAAGGAGGGGACCACTGAGGGGCACACATACCCCTGAGGGGCTGGCCCAGGCACCTGGCAGGCAGGGGCACAGAGGTGGGGGAGGGACCAGCCTAGGGTGCCTGAATACCAGTACACTTGGACCTGCCTCTGCTCCCCCACCAGGGGTCTGGGACAAAGTCCTGGGCTAGTATACAGCTTGGTAAAAAATAATTAATTCTCCTTTTCAAGTGAAAGCTCTGACTCAGGCCTTTTCCTGTCCTGAACAGCAACATCCTTGCTTAGACCTGAACCACAGAAGCTGCTCAGGACTATCCATGGCCTCCCCCACAGCCAACCTGAGTCTGCCTTGCATCTCTAACCTCTACTTGGAAGGCACCGTGGGCTCCAGGTGAGTGGGGTCCATCCAAGGGAGCCCTAGGACCTGAGCGTAGCTGGAAGGGGCAAGGCAGTGGTACCCCACTGGGTTAGCATGGTTGTGCCTGTGCCATGCCATGGGGCAGACATAGCATGCCTGTGTGGGGATGTCTATGGATCTAGTGTTCCTGCAGCAGGGGTCCTGTGCCATGTGATCAGAAGGGGGACAAGAAGCGCACATCTCCAGGTGCCTTGGGAGTGCTCCATACCTGGGACAGGTTCTCTCAGCCCTCTGTACCCCCAGCGTCCCTCTCTTCACTTTCTGGAGAGGTGAGAAAAACAGGCTTCCTATTGCAAGGGGAGGGGGCTGCCCAAGCAGCTGCTTCGGGAGCCTCCAGTGACTCATCCGGGTGGGGGGTGTTTATGAGCAGCCGAAATGACTGTAAAAGTGGCACCTCAGTTCACTTATGGCCTGGCCATCCCCTCCCCTACCAGTCCCTGCCTTGAAAAGTTTCCAGAGGGGGCAGGTACCTGAGAGAGGTCTGGGATTGAGGCTTGGTGGAGGCTCAGCCTGGGGCCAGGGTTCAGCCAGGGGTTAGAGGTCAGACTGGGATCAGGGTTGACATTGGGATTCAGGCTGACTTTGGGGCTAGGGTTGAGGGGATGAAGTATTGGGGGTCTGTGGGCCAATTTTCCCAGAGAGCCCCCAGGCTAGGGGTTTTCTGAGGGAGTAAGGCCAGGCTAGAGCTTGGAGAGTTGAGCCTTTGTCTTTCCTATTTGAGTCGGATGCCCACCCTGGCCCAAGGATCTGTATACCTTGGCCAGAGCCCTACTCACGCTAGTGGCAGCAGCAGGGGCCTGTCAGCTTAGAGCCACTTCATCAGAGTCCAGCCTCTGCTCCAGGTCTGAGCTTCAGTGACCTCCCATGATTCCTCCTGCTTGGCCTCAGCCTGGGGCCAGAGAGGGGCATCCCCACAGGGACTCACTCCTATACCCCTGACCCAAACAGTCCTTTCCATTGAAACTGACCTGAAACTGACCAGAAACTGACCCTGGTGCCCTGGGGCTTGCCTGTCAGAAGGGCAGGCTGGCTCTGCCAGGCACTGGGGTGCTGCTAGTTAATGTGTGACACCCCCACCCCCATGGTGGCACTTTAACCAGATGCCTGGGGTGAGTTAGGGGATCAGTAGCCCCACCCACAGTAGTGGGATGTCCAGCAGGGGCCTCTGGAGTGAAGCACATGAGTTATTGCTAGGGGAATGCCCAGAGCCCATCAGACCCCTCTCTGCAGCCCTGTCCTATCCACAGCCCAACAGAGTCCTCCCAAATACAAATAGTTTGTTTCCCATTCCCAAGTTTTCTGGTGTCAGAACCAAGAAGGACTCCTTCCCCCCATAAAGCCTCTAATTTTACCTCTCAGTTCCCCTAAACCCTCATTGAATGTTCTTTTCTTATCCCCAAGGGCAGGAGGTGATCATGAAACCATAAAACGTAGAATAGAATCGCTTAGAAACAGAGACATAAAACTGAGACCATCAAAACAAAACACTGAAGAACCGTGAATGTTCTTAAGATGCCCACTCTGGGTATCTGGGCTTCTTTTCCTGATCCCAATAAACCCACACACCATAGGGAGCAGACTCCCAAATCACAGGCCCTCCAGCACTGGAGATGGGGACACAAGGAGGAATGGAAAGGAGGTCCTCTACACCACACAGAGGAGCAGGATCCTGGCAGAGGAAACTACACAGGCAAAAGCAGGCCAGTGGGCATGGGGAGGTGGCCAGCAGTCAGTGGACAGTGCCTGTTGGGCAGTCATTTTGAGAGGAAACTGCCTCAAACAGCACAGTCCTTAAATGCCAGGATAAGAAACGTGCGGGTAGTGGAACACGGAGGAGGGCGTGGCCACAGAAATGTATGAAGACCCCTGTGCTTACCCTCTGGGAGATGGGTGCACCGCCAGGAAGGTTGGCTGAGCTAGATTAAAGATCGGACTTGAGGACCCACTCACGCTGAGGAAAGGGGCCATCCTCGAGATGAGGGGGGCAAGTTGGGGAGCTCTAAGGAGCTCAATGTCCTCAGACTGAGTCTGGGAAGCCCCTAGAGCCCGTGGGTCTGGACATCCACCCTTGGAGGCACTAACAGTCAAGTTAAAAAGTGTCCTTCGAGTCAACTGGTCAACTCCCCATTTTACAGATGAGGAGACTGACGCCCAGACAGCAGGAGAGTCCTCCCACCCAGGACACACAATTGGTAAGTAAGTGAGCAGGGGCTACCACTTAGCCCAAGTATTTTCCAGGGCCACGATGTCACATTAGCTTCCGCATGACCATCCTTGAAGCCCTCCACTCCAGGCATCCCCAGGCCCTCCGGCACCTCAGCTTCTCCACCTGGTACTGAGATGTAAGGAAACGGTCCGAGGCCCCTCGTAGAGCGCTCGGGCGTCCTCCCCCGCTCCCCTGGCCGGAGCGCTTAAGCGCTGCCCCCACTTCAGGTCCCTGCTCCCAAAGTAGATTGCCGGTTGTCCCCAGTGGAGCAGAGTCAGCCAAGAGCGTTTAGGGGTGTTTAGGGCTGGGAGAGGGAGACGGGGCCCGAGGATGGGGGTCCCGCCTGAGCCCCGGATCTTGCAGCCTTGAGCCGCCGGGGTGGAGTCAGGGGCGGAGCCGGAGAGGCCGGGCCCACCTCTGGACCGGTCGAGACTCGGAGAGACCTGGTCTGGGGAGAAACTGGGGCGGGAGAGAAGGGAAGCTGAGGCCGGAGACGCAGGCAGGGGAGGGGGCGGGTCTAGGGCACGGCGGATCCACCCACTCGGAGATTCCCGAGGCTGGGGGTCCAGGAGAGTGCAGGGTGGGGCGGCGCGGGACGGGAGGACGCGGGCGGCAGCGGCGGCGCAGCCAGGCTGGGGCTGGCGGCCCCGCAGCCTCTCCAGGGTCCCGGTCCAGCCCGAGCGGGAGTCCCGCGGGCAAGCAGACAGCGCCTCGGCTGGCGCGTGCCGGGTATCTCCCGTGAAGAGGGCCTGCTGCGCGGCTGAGGGTCCCTATCCACCGGCCAGGGCCGGACGATCAGAAAACATAACGTCTGCGCCTTCTCGGAGGAGAGAGTCAAGCGGCGGCAGCGCCCCGGAATACGGCTCCGGGCTACGGCCCCAGGCCCCGATGTCAGAGCCCTCTGGGTCCCGTCCCCTCCACACTCACATCCCGTTGCTGTGCGGTCCCTGGCCGCGGCCTCTAGAGAAATATCCGGGGGCAGCGGGCAGTGGGCGCCGCTCGGCCGCTCCACACACCCGCGTCGGAGGCGACGACGGTGGGGCGGGGGCGGGGAGGCCCAGGGCGGGGGCGGGGAGGGCAGAGGCCCCGGGCCGCGGGGGGAGGGGAGCGGCAGACGCCGAGGCGAGGGACGCGCGCGGCGGGCGGCGGCTCCGGGCGGCGGCCGGACGGGGGGCGCTGGAGACCAGGCGGAGCAAAGGGGACACCGAGCGCTCCATGAAGTCCCCCCGGGGCCGCGGACGGGGTCCTGTCCTGGGGAGGCTGTCGGGGGGTCCCCGACATCCATGGCTAGGCGGGGGCCGCGGCGGCGCGCTCGGAGTAAGTAGGGGTTTAAGGGCGGGCTCCCAGGGGATGGGGCCGCCGTTGGGTCGGGTGACTCCGGGCCTGACTGGCAGGCTGGCTGGTCGTCTCGTCAGTTGGCGGCGGCGCCGCCTCGGAGTCCGGTGGAGCCGCCAGCCCCGCGCCGCTGGGCTCGGTGGCTTTTTTGGAAACTTGCAAATGTTTTCGTAGAGAAAGAAGGGGGAGGAGAGAGAGGGAGCGAGGGAGTGACCGAAACGAAGCTTTGGGCTGCTGGAAGAACGGAGGCCAAGGCCGGGGGAGCCGATGGACTGGCTACTGACAGGCAGATAGAGCGCCCCGGCCGCAGGCGCGCTGCAGCGGCGCGGGCGCAGGCGGGGCTCCCGCTGAGGATGGGGAGCGGATGCCGGAGGCGGCGGCGGACGGGCTGGGGATCCGAGGGGCAGAGCGAGGAGCTGGCTGGCGGATCACCGTGGGGCTCCGTGCGGTTGCGAAGTTGGGATCGCGTCCGCAAGCTGCACGCCCGCGCGGCCCAAAACGTGTCCCCCGCCACGCCCCCGCCCCCATTTGAGTTAGACGCTGACTAAAAATAACAGCCCAGCTCGCCCCCCGCAGACCGCGACCCCAACCCCTCCCCCGACCCCTCCTCCACTGGGCGTGGGGCGAAGCCGCAGCTCCTAGTTCCCTAAAAGAAAAAGAGAAAGAAAGAAAAAGCAGCGCGGGTGGGGGCTCGGGGGGCGGGGGGCGGGCCGGGGGCGGGGGGCCCAGCCATATGGATGTGATTTCTCAGCTCCGAGGCAGACGGGCAGCTCTACAGCGTTCGGCGCCCGCCCGCCGCCCGCCGGGCCCCCGGCTGCCTCCCTTCCTGCCTCCCTCTCTCTCTCTCTCCTTTGCGCTCGTTCGCCCTCGGCGCATGGGCCCCGCGCCGGGCCCCGGGGCCTCGGGCCGCCGGGCCGCCAGGGTCCCTTAGGCTCGGGCGTGGGCGGGGCAGCCGGGCCTGACGCAGCTCTGTACCCCACCACCACTAGCAGGGCCGGCGGCGGCGGCTGCCCCGAGGGACGGGGCCCTAGGCGCTGGCGATGGGGGCCGCCCGGATCGCGCCCGGCCTGGCGCTTCTGCTCTGCTGCCCGGTGCTCAGCTCCGCATATGCGCTGGTAAGTCTCCCGCCCGCACTCCAGCACAGGCTGCGGGCTTGTTCTGGAGTCCCTGGGACGGGTCTAGGGCGCAGAGCCTTGGGTTCCACAAGTAATCTGAACTTTGGGTCGGGATCCCCTATGACCCGAGATCCTCGATGCCTGCTGTCTCTGAGGTGTCTGGGTTCCAAATGCTTAAGATCTCCCTATTTCTGAAGCCTTGGTTTGGGGTCCCAGGTCTGGAAGTCTGTGGTCGCGTTTCCCCAATCTTCTACTTCTACGAGCACCACCGCTCTGATTGTTATCTCCCTGGAAGTTGACAGTGTGATCTAGCGGAAGATGGGCATTTGCCCTGATATAGGACCCCACAGACTTTGGGGGTTTCTGTTTTCTGCAAGTTTTGTTTGCGATCTGGGACACAGGGCTTTGAGTCTGAGGTCAGAATCACCCAGCCAGGGGTAGGATTTAGGGGTCTCCTCTGGCTCTGTGATCATATGCATGCATACACACATGCACCCATGCCCAGTAAAGCTCAGAGTCGAAGCCATTTGTCCATGAAGTCGGGTATGTCGTGGCACTGAGGAGGAATGGAGGTTCCCTGAAGGAGACTGACCTCACAGAGCACGCTTACAGGAGAAACATGCTGGTGGGAGACTCCTGTGAGTGAGGGACACCAGGAAGATGGGGAACTCCCATCTCTACTCCATTAAGAGCAGAGGCCAAGAGATGGCTGGAGAGGGAAGAGACAGAATGGGAGGTAAGACTAGAGAGACAGAGACAAAGAAGCTTGGGGACGAGAGTGCCCCAGAGCAGGAGGAGTAGACAGACAACAATAGCACAGAAAAATACGGAGAGACTCCCAGGGGCCAAGAACTGCAGACTTGGAGAGGTAGCACCCTCCTCATCCTGGGCTAGGGTCTGGGGGTCATTTCCTGGGGAGTCAGTCAGATCCCACAGCAGCACTGTCCCAGGGCACCAGCCTGTTGCTGAAGAGGCTGTCTGCCTGTTGACTTGAAGGCCCCTGCCACCTTCCCCCCTACACACACAAACACCTCCCAGGTGGGGGCATCTGCCTTCTAGAGAGACAGAATGGCAGGAAGGCAAACAGGCAGCAGGCAGGCAACCGCCTCCTCCTGACCAGCTCCCTACCCAGGCAGAGCCCCAGATGCGAAGGCTGGAGCTCTGGGTTCCTTCAGCTCTGCGTAATAATGCCTATAACCTTGGGCTGTCCTTCTCCACACCTCAGTTTTCCTATCTTTAAAAAAAAAACAGCAAAAAAAAAGAAACGTTTGCCTGAGAACCCCCTGATCTGAGGCTCTCCTCTCCTATGTGGGCCTTAGCACACCCCATTCACTGGTGCCCAGGCCCTCACGACTCTGGTATTCCAAAGCCAGAGACATCACCCTATATGAGGACTTATTTAAAGATGAAGAAACTGAGGTTCAGAGACACTTAGCTTCTTGTGCAGAGATACTCCAAACACTGGTGTGTGGCAGGGCCCAGAGTGGTTTCCTCCCCTGCCCTCAGGCCCAGCTCACCTTTCCAGGTCCCCCTGCAGGGTGTGCCAGCCAGCTCAGTCTGTCTGCCCATACTCAGGATAGACAAAGTGATGGGTGTGCATGTCCTCAGAGTATGTGTGTCAGAGCAGGCCCTTGGCAATAGACATGGTGGTCTCTGGGGCTGTGTGAGAGTCCATGTGTGTTCTCATGTGTGTCCGAAGCTATGAGTCTGCACATGACTTGCAGGGGCAGTTATGCATGTGTGTGTATTTGTGAGCACATGTGCACCCAGGTCTATTGTTTTCTTATTTTTATTTAATAAATGCTTTTGCAGTGATTTCTACTTGCTAGACATTGTTCAAAGCACTTTTCAGTATCAACTAGCTTAATCTTCCCAACAATCCTCTAAGAAAGGGTCTGTGGCTGTCCACATTTTTTAGTTGACCTGAATCAAAACTACCATTATTTATTGTATGCCAGCCAAGTGCCAAGCCATGTCCCTCTATATATCAGAGGGTGGGGGTGGATGTAATTGGTCCCCAGGCCCCCGCACTGATTCCCCAGGAAGCTGAGGCACATGCAGAGAACTTGCCTAGCTTAGCCCTGGTCCAAGGCTGAGGGTGGGGCAGGAGGAGAAAGGCCAGGGCTGGGCTGCCCCAGGACCTTGTGGGGCATCTGTGGCTGAACACTCAGGTCATGAGTGCACAGGACCCACCCTGGTTTCAGGGCTGGAGATATGGTCCAAGTGTTACCCAAAATCCTGTGGGCCCCCTGGGCTCAGGTGGAGCCAATGAGACGCCAAGAGTCTGCCAGCTTCCTCTTCTGAATCCAGAAGCTGCCACTTCCACCCACTTCTGCACAGATTGCCCCTAAGCCCCCCAACCTCATCTGACAGTCCTGTTACCAAATCTGAATGCTACTGGCTTAGTTGGTCCCAGGGCCAAGCTCACATCTGCAGGGACCTCATAGTTGGGGGTCCCT